CACGCTCAAAATTGCTTAAATCACCTTTCTTTCCCATTCTGACATTCAGTTTGGAGTTCAGGAGATTGTCTTGACCAGGACCACACCCCTAAATGTATTGAAGCAACTGCCATGTGATTGGTTAATTAGATAATTGCATTAATGAGAAATTGAACAGGTGTTCCTAATAATCCTTTAGGTGAGTGTATATACGTAACCCACACACGTGCGTATTAACCGTTATAGTTTTCCCTGACCTAATCTGTATATGAATGATGCACCTACGTATGAGGGCAGCCTCTGTATCTGATGCACTGCTCTCTCAGAATCAAAAGGTGACAATGTCCTTCACCATCCACCTGACACTGAGACTTGGCTGCAGTGGCCAGGAACCGGGACCCACCGAGGTCTGTTTCAAACGACTGCGGCTCTTATGTTTGGGCAAAAAATGATTGTTCTAGAAGGTTACAGTGCTGAGAACGACCTGATTTTATGTGGCAAGAGCACTAATTATTTTTAACGTAAAGACTCGAGGTTGGAACTATTACACAGCTTGTAATTGTCCCCTTTTGTGGAAAACATTACTAACTGTTCTTTGTATAACTTGATAAAAAATACAAATATCACTATATATATATATATATATATATATATAGCTGCATAAGCAATTATGCATGTGTTCACGCACATTATGAAGGAATTTGGTGGATGTATTTCTGAGATGCAGTGATCCTGGAGCCTATCCCAGGAAGCACAGCACGCGAGGCTGAAGACACCCTGGACAGGATCCAAATGAAAACAAAATGGTGGAAATATAGATGTGTGGAAAGGGAATGGGAAGGTTAGGAAACTGAGATAAACACTACAACCGCTTCTGATTTGAGTATAGATAATCGGGTAATAATGTGATTGATTGTAAAGCGCCAAACACTGAAGGTGGGTACCACAGACAGGCAAGGGGATTTGGGAAGAACGACAGTCTGGCTCTGCCATCAGTGGGGGCATGGGCTGCGGAAGGAGCAGAGACATTCGTCAAACGCCCCCCACCCGGCCCCCCTGCCCTCCACTGCGTGCAGTCTGACAGCTCTATCAATCTCTCTTTTCTGCAGTCTGCTCACAGCACCTGTCAGTACACAGGCTGGATGGTTGTGGGCTTCGCGAACAGGTCGAGGGGGCAGGGATGAGCAGGAAGACTCCATGCGAGCACACACCAGGTCTGGAGCACACAAGTCTGCAGCCATACCAGTTCAGAAATTCACGGTCACCACGAGGAATGCCCCGTTTTCAAATGCTTTAGTCGATTTAAAAAAGCTTCCCGTAGATCTTTTCATCACTGTCCCATTCCATATGTGTCAGCCAGTATCAAAGTGTAAATTAAATTGATAAATGCGGTAAACAACTGGAAATTGATCTTATGTAAATCTATTCACATAAATTTGCGGTTTCTGGAGTGCTGTCGTAGTTCTTTTCGTCCTGTAGTAAACAGTGGCTGTACGGCGTTTTATGAAAGCACACTGCCCCCTGGTGGCTTTGAGTAGAAATGTGGGTATAGCGATAATTTCATCCCCGTTATGAGGACCATTCCATACCTTCCAGTGAGACTGTATGACATACAATATGAACCTAAGCCTGAGAGAAAAAAAAATTCAAAGGTACAGCTGTAGTGCAAATTCATTGAAGGGTCCCTGGGGCGGTTCTGGAGAGGGGGGCAGTGCCTCCGTGACAACGGTGGCCCCACTAAATACGCGTACGTATGCTACTTGGGTCTGAAATAAACGTACTGCTATTATTATTTACAATTATATATGCGAGCTAAAATGCGCTGGAAACAAGTGAAACACAAACGTAAGCACATTTTCTTGACGGACTTTTAACGCAGGTGCGCCCGGTAGTCGAATCGCTACAGTTGGTGATAAAGAACGCTAACGACAGAAAAAAAAGATCATCAAGCTTGTGGAATCAAGACAGTCAAAACAAGAAATCAGAGGGAGAGACATATTTGTAAAATGTGTAAAGTGTAACCACAAAAACAATGCATAAAATCGGATTTCGAAATTGTAATTTGTTTTTTAAAGCTGGCAATTTGTGTAACTAATACTTAGAGTACTTTAAGGTCAAACGCATATGCCCACCCCATAACAGGAGAACTGGCCCCAGTATGGCCCCCCACTTGAAATGGTCTGCAATCTCCACTGCCCCCCCCACACACACACACTTCATCAGATGTCCAGGTCGTTTAAGAGGATGGGAAAGGAGGAAGAAACCGAGAGTGAATGAACGGGATGGACCTCAAGTCCTTCTGGATTTGACAATGAACTGCAGAGAGAACACCTGCACTTTAGCTTACTGGAGTGGGGGGGTGGCATAACATCTAAATTAGTTTGGTCAGTTTAGCTTTCAATAAGGGTTGAAAACCACTTTGCACATTGCTAATTGAGTGTAGAATCATTAAGCACTTTAACGGAGTTTAACTATTAATTATATCAGAATCGATCAGTGGGTCTGGAGTAAGCGTCTTTGATTCATTAGTAGGACTTAAGCTTTTAAACGGACCCAATGACCTAAACGATTAGTCCAGGCCTGCAAGTACTAGACTGTCATTATGTGTCGGGGTGATCCACTCACTTTATCCTAACTGGTATAATTTCAAAGGCACCTGCACGTTAATATACACTGTTATTACTTCTAATGACGTAAATATTTTCAGTTGTGTGCACATAATTATAAATGATCAACTAGGAAAATGTTTTTTTCAGCGTTATTATAACAATATTACTGTACTACTTCACTCATGCATTTTTGATAATGCCAATCATATTAATATATACTAATTAAAGGTTGCTCTGACCTCTCCAGGAACCTGAAAGCAATTGCACGCAATTGCCATTCTAGACTTCTATTTGGGCTCCTGAAAGGCTGGAAGACTATTCCAGCCTGGGCCAAGTTGATCTCACACAAGACTGACACACTAGTTCACTAACATTAGCATTAAGTCACAAGTGCTTCAGTGTGCCCAGAGCCACAGGGGCAGACAGACAGCTGCAGATGGCCCTGCAAGGGAAGGCTGCTACTTATTAGGCCGACGATAAAACATTGCTTGTTTGTGTTATTTTACCCAGCCCTGTATATCATAAAGCACCCCTACACCAGCATAACCCAGCTGGATGTGCAGTGAGTGTCACCTAGCCGACATGCCAGGTTTGAGAAGGGCTCATACACCCCGTCTGATCTGGGTGTGAGATTTAAGGACGCTGCTTGGGATGGGTGTGTAACACAGAAAAGCACTCCAGGTGAAACATAAAGACTTTTATTTTTCTTTAAAAAAAAATCATATCCAAATGACTAAAGTCTGAGCCCTCGGTGCAGGTCGGTCTTCATGTGGAGGGCTAGCGGGCCCAGGTACCAAGCAGCTGCATGATGAGAATGGCCCACCAGCACCTCACTCACACCCCCCCCCCTCCGCATGACGCCTGCTCACCGAGTGCAAACATGGAGCAGGGGGCAGAGCTGCACTGGCAGAGACCCTGAAGGTGTGCGTCTGACTGCTCCTTCGCATCCAGCAGCTTCCAGACACAACCCCACTGATCAACACTAGGGGGCAGAGCAGAGGACCTGGTGGAGATATGCTAAGGAGCCAAATTACCCACCTGAGGCATATCTGTCACACAGGTGTAACATATTAAAGATGCATCTCCAGATACACTCAGTCACGCCTGCTTGCCACCGATGTAACACGGCTAAGCGATGAGACATTTAAAAAAGTGTTAGAGGCAGGGTACTGATACAGTACAGTAAAAACAGTAAAATAGGGTAATCAAAATAAAGCTCAAATTTTCAGTGTTTTACTTTAAGAGAGACACCAGGGGTGGTAACACACAGCCCCTCCCCCCACAAGCATTTAAACCAGCTAGAACCTGATATTTCTAGATTCAGCTGAACGTGAGTGCTTGTGCACAGGACAGAGATGGAGGGGGTATGGAGAAAGGGGATGAGCTATTTCACAAATCGCCGGGGGGGGGTTACACAGCTACAAGCAGGAGTCCCAGGTAAGCTGCAGGTCAGAACTGTCTAAGAAGTCTGCTGAAAACACACTGGAGGGTGCATGAGATCCCAGAGGGGGCACACCTGAAAGCCCGCTGGTCCCCACTCCCATGGTGATGTCCAGCCAATCCATGCCATCCAGGCCCGGCTCTCCGAAGTGGGGGGTGAAGGAGAGCTCACATGTGTCCATAGGAGAAGGAGGGTGGTCCAAGATGCTGGAAGTGCTCAGCAATTGGCTATGGAGGTCGTCAATCAAAGTCACCGGGCCTCCTGGTTCCACCCCCAGCAATGGCTTTCCAGTGGTGCTCTCCAGGAAGTCCTCCAGACGGCCGCTTCCTGTGCCGACCACTTCCTGTTCTGCAGAAACAGGTGCCTGAGGTTCCCCTTCCAAAGGGTGCTGAGAGACTGGGGGCTCAAGGGGGACAGGGGCTGAGAAATGTAGAGGGGAGTGGCTAGGTGAAGGGGGCAAGGTTCTGGAGTCAAGGCAGGAGAGCCCCGGGTCTTTGAAGCTGGCAGAGATTTCTGGGAAGCCAACATGAAATAAAATAAGATCATAGAATGGGTGGAGTCAGAAACAGGCGATGCAAGGTGAAGGCAAAGGAGTAAAGATTGCACTCAGAGGCAAAGCAAAAAGGCAACAGGCAGAGTAAAAACAGGAAAACTGGTACCTCCGCTCTCAATTAGGATGTCAAAAAAGTCAGCCATCTGTTCACTGGAGTTGTTCTCCTTCAGGAGGGAAAACATAATCAGTATGAAGGCATTCCAAGGCAGAGTCGCACCTAAACAGCTAAACAGCTTTGCAACCTGGGAGCAGTTAGCAGCACGGTCATCCAAATTGCTCCGGGTTACAAGTAACCTGCATGTATGAAGGCAGCCGGCTGACGCCCTTGCAGGTAGCTGTGTCACATACCTTGTCGTGCAGCGGGGGTGTGGGACTCTGCCTCTTAAAAGCCGGGGAGAGGGGCCCGAATAAGGTGTGCACATCGATACCAGAAGACATACCCACCTGGTCCAGAGAGAGACATGGGATGAAGGAGACAGCAAGCAAGACTGCACAGGCATCCAAACTGTTCACACTTACCATGTGGGTGGGAGATGAGGGGGCGGGCTCCTCAGAGGGGGCGGGCTCATTAGAGGGGGCGGGCTCATTACCGAGAAAGAAAGGCTGCAGGTTGGGCGGGGCAGAGAGGGAGCTGTTTGACTCTTGTCGTTGGTTGGTGGACACCTGGAGTCCCTAGTTGGAGGACAGACTCTGTCACATTTAACTTCCTCATTAACCAGACAGATACGAAACAGGTCGTCCTTTTTCTGTTGATCTTGCACCTGGTGCCAATCAGTTTGTATGAGATATTAACTGAGATCATCCATGGTAACAAAAAAAAATGAACACTCTCGACTAGGCCTGGAATGCCCAGGAACATACTCTTCACTGACAAGAAATGATATCAGGGAATTATGACAGGCGCAAGCACATCGTACCTTTTTCACCAGCTGATGGTTGAGACCTGGCTGAAACTGTGACTTGGATTGGGCGTTACTGTCAGTCACGGGAGGTGATTGGCTGGAGGATTTGGTGGGTGTGGACTGCACTCTCTATGGGACACAGACAACAGAGCAAAGCCGCATGTTTAGAGAATTACCGAGTCCTTGTCCCAGCTGGTGCTCAAGGTCACACCTTGGCCATCATGGCAGGCCAGTTCCCCTGAGGCTACCTGTAGACTGACATTTCCAGGGCCTTCGCACTGTGACAGCGTCCCCTCCTGGCCGCGACTGCCAAGTGCAACCAGGAAGTGGTTGCTGTTGCTATTGCTCAGCAGTGTCGGGGCGGGGCAGGACTTGAGGATGTCCAATGACAGGGAGGGGGCAGGCATAGAGATGGCAGGTTGCTGGCTCCCAAATACAGGGGGCACCTGGCAAATGGATGACAGCTCATTGTTCTGCCCAGTTAACGTACCCATACATAGTTATTAGACCCCTCCCCCCAGTCCCCCCCTAGCCCCCCTCTCAACTGTCCGTACCTGCTGTACCTCTACCTCCAACGGTCTCCTCTTCTTCTTCTTCTTCTTCTTGTGCGTCACACTCGCTTGTCTATCCTGCACCAGCTGCCCCTGAGGTGCCTGCTGCCACTGCTGTCTTTGGTGCTCTAATTCGATTGGCTGCCGCACCTGAATCTTCTGACGCTGCTGGATCTCCATTGGCTGCTGCACCTGTGCCACCTGACGCTGCTGGATCTCCATTGGCTGCTGCACCTGTGCCACCTGACGCTGCTGGATCTCCATTGGCTGATGTGTTTGTGGCACCTGATGCTGCTGCAGTTCCATTGACTGCTGCATCTGTGGTACCTTACACTGCTGGATTTCCATTGGCTGCTGTGTTCGTAGCACCTGACGCTGCAGTATTTCCACTGACTGCTGTGTCTGTGATACTTGACGCCGCAGTATTTCCATTGGCTGTTGTGTCAGTGGCAGGACGGCCGGCTGGTCAAACGATCCCAGCTGCAGGTCTGCCTGTGACAGCATGTCACCCAAGTCATCCTCCACCTCCTCCTTAATGGTCACCTGGATGGTGTCATCCTCGCTAAGGTCGGGGACATATGAGCCGTAGGCACAGCATGTGGTCTCCCCCACACCTTCATCAGGCTCCTGTTTGACTCGCACGCCAGCCACTTCCTGCAGCTCCGCCCCCACCCGCTTGCCCTGCTCCAGCTGCGAGCGCAGCGTCTCCACGAGCCGCTGCTTCTGCTGCAGCATGCGCGTCAGCTCCTCAATCTGCTTGTCCTTCTCCTGCAGCATCTGGTCCTTGTCCAGGGTGTGAGGACAGCGGGAGAAGCGGCACGGTGCTGGGGCCTCGTCTTTGATCGCGGTGGGCAGCAGCGGGGAGGAGTGGAGGTTCAACTGCGTCAGGGGGGAGCTGACCTGTTTTAAAGGAGGCGAACCACAGGACAGGAGGAGAGAGAATGTCAACCCAAGCTACAAAGAGGCTGCAAACAGGAGGCTCAGGAAGTCTCTGCCCCAAAGGCCACAGAGAAGAACTGCAATACATCCAGTCACTTATTGGGTTTAAAACGTAAATAAATATCGAGTCCTTGTCGAGGTTAAACATTGCCTAGCAGGTGAGACATACCGTATCCCCAAATGTATCTCCATTACAGCTGGTTTCATCTGGACTCATCCCAGCCAGTGAACGGTCAGAGGGGGCGGGAGACTCGGGTGGTGATGAGCTCGTGCTGCCAAACTTCATGATGGGGGGTGGGGGCCCCGGTGCAGCTCCGCCTCCTGCAATTGCAGCCACGAACGGGAAAGCCGCCGCCACCACCACTCCTCCTTCACCGGAATGGTGCAAGACAGTGGTCCCTCCCAGAATGGGGGAGGGCCCCACAGGCTGGGATAGCTGTTGCGGTAGGCTGCATTTTGGGGCACCGACCCCAGCAGTGCCCCCTGAAGGGGCTGGGCCTCCGTTCTGCTCCTGGAAGGTCCGCAGTCTCTCAAGGAGGTCGTTCTTCGTACCCGACACTGGCAGGCCCCGGATCTTCAGCTCCTGCTTCAGCTCAGCAACCTGAAAAGATTTGTACCTCTTTACTGCATGGAGGTCATCATGGTCCTGCAGCCACTCTTTTGCTTTACACCAGCCTGACTCACCTTGAAGTCATCCAAATTAGGGGGCAAGGGTCCCAGCTTAGGCAACACCACGGTGGGGTGGGCCTGACGGAGCGGCCCACCTGGACTAGATGTCGTCAGTGCAGGGGTGGGTCCACCCCGAGAGGGAGAAGGGCCAGAAGTGGAGGGAGACTGCTGTTCTGCCGGAGGTCTGAAGAGACAGTGTATAAGCAAATGTGATAAAGCTTGGGGGGAAGATGGGTTAGGGTTAGAAAGGGGGTGTTCAACTTCGGGGAAAGGTGGTATGGTGTGGTAGGGATAGGGAGGAGGTGCTCACTTGGGAGGGGCAGGCAGGATGGTGTGGTAGGGATAGGGAGGAGGTGCTCACTTGGGAGGGGCAGGCAGGATGGTGTGGTAGGGATAGGGAGGAGGTGCTCACTTG